AATTTATACCTGATTATTAAAGATTAGTATGCTGAAATAAGTAGTAGCGCGACAAAAGCACATACTTTTTGTGATATCTAATAAGGTTACAGATTATTATAACTAAATAATAACTCAAAACTATTTTCTACCAGAATATTGTGTGTAGCGTATGTAAAATCGTACTTTTCGCGTAATTGTAAAATATAAAACATTGTATAATAAGATTTTTAAAAACCGCCATTTACAATTGTTTAAAAAAAGGAGTAGTTTGGCGCAATTTGTGCTTAAATTGTATGTAGTTTACCAGAAAACATTTTCTCAAAAACAACCCCCAACTATTTTCATAACTTTTTCCACAAATAGAACAATAAAACTTTACAAATTGTGCAGATCTCATTTCTGGTGAAAACTCAGAAATTTCGAAAATGTCAATTTCGAAATGAGAGAAAGTGTGTGCTGTTCGATGACCACTAGATTTTCATATATTATCGATAGACGTAGACATACTTGGGGCGGATATCGAAATTGACATCCCCTGAAGTTGATAATGGGATGGAAAAACGTTTGGCACTAAATGAAATGACACGTTTCAGTACTAGAGTTCTTCAAAAAATGTATTTCTTTTAAAATATCAACCACGATATTCCGAAGCATGACATTCTCTTTATGAATAGGTAAAAACATAAATGCTTTAAATAACATTTCATAAATTCTAAGAAATCTGTTTACGTAAGTAAAATCGTGGCGCATTTTTCAGCATTCATCCACGGCATTTCAATTGTTCATTGAATCCACGACAATACATTGCCACTGAAATATAGCTAAAAATTAAAGACGTTTTCCTCAGCATTTTTAAAATTTCGGTTACAACGTTCTAGTGTTCACCCATTCATATAACGTATGCTATTCCGTGTATACGTATGGATAAAATGCAAAGCTGTGTACAATAAAAAAATTTTTTAAGCACATCCACGAATTAATTGAGCTTGAAAACAAGAACAGTGAGTAGTACAATTTTAACATAAGTAACAAATGACTCCAATGTTTCAATGAAAAGATCACCTTGTATTATTGCTTCAGTGCCGAGTCTCCCGTCTTGGGGCGACTGAAGGGCGCAGCGACGACCTTCGGAACAGAATACGAGATCTTCCTCGGCGGCCTGTGGGCGCTGCGCGCGCGCAGCAGGGGCATCTCGTTTCAACTGTTCTCCAATGTGGAAGCTGCGCGTCCCCTGGACGACCTCGTGCTGCGCGTGCTGAAGCCGCGGCCACTGACCATCTTTATCCAGCTCAAGCACGCCAACAGGACTGGCGCAGCAGCTCCGGTGACCACGCAGGTACATACTCTAAAATGAACACACTAATCACATGTATCCCGCTGATGCAATGAAGTCAATACTGTTGAGGCCAAGCCACTAATGATATTCATCCAGCTCAAGCACGCCAACAGGACTGGCGCAGCAGCTCCGGTGACCACGCAGGTAAATACTCTAATATAAACACACTAATCACTTGTATCCCGGTGAAGCATTGCAGCACGATTGGGTAAGCTCCTTCAGTGACCACCCAGGTAAATACTGTTGAGGCCAGGCCACTAATGATATTCATCCAGCTCAAGCTTACCGGAGCGAGTGGTTCAGCTCCTTCAGTGACCACACAAGTAGAAACTCTGAGCCGATGGTACTAACCGTATTCATCCAGCTCAAGCAAACGGGCACCATTGGTGCAGTTCCTGGAGTGACCACACAGGTAAATATTCTGACCAAATACTTTGAAACACTTTCATCCAGCCTAATCAATCTAGCACGACTGGTTTAACTCCTTAGGTGACTTTACAGGTAAATACAATGGGCTACAGAATAAACAACTTCAACCAGCGGAAGCTCGCCTGCAGACTGCAAACCCCTAAAGCAATACACGAATTGTATTTACTTTTTTCCGCTCAGGCTTTTACATCCCGCAAGAAGGACTTCAGTTTACAAAAATATTTTGAGTTTTACGCCGACTTCAAGACGAAACACACGACTACTAGTAGCATCAAAACGAAAGACGACGAGCTGTTACACGATTGTTCTTTGGACGACGTGCGGGTGGTGCTTTACACCAATCGACCCGTCGTTCGTCACAAGGAGGCAACCGATGGACCACACCTGCACTTCCAGCACGAGGACCTCCTGCGCACCAGCGACCCCTCTACACCCAACTCTGTCTTCTCCTTCGGCCACATGGATCAAGAGGTCCGTAGCACTCTTCAGAAAATGTGGTATTTTCTAGTTTCGGTCTCCGCGATCTGAGGGGTTCATTGAATCTACAAGAAAACTATCATCATTTGCAAATCATCCATTTCAAAAGTTTGGCCTTCATTAGCTGAGTGCAATGGTTACATTTTAATAAATAAACTCCACTTTCATTCATTAAAGGGTAGCTTTTTTAATCTATATTGATATTATATTTGCTGAATACTTTTCCTATCTTTTTGGATATTGACCCAATGTATGGGATACTTCGAATGGAATGGAAAATTTAGAAATTTTACAATTATTCAAAAACACTTACTTAATGTGTCTCAATGAACAGTCTCAATTATAATCCAACCCCATTATAATTTTATTTCATAACGGTTTTTCCACACTCCAATTTCCTCCTCCGTCTTCCTTCAGTACGTGTCTGTACTTCGCCCGACACACAAGATGGCGCCAATTTGGGACCTACTGCGAGATAGATCTATGTTACTTGGGTATTGTAACACCCTGCTCCCCTTTTTTACATTTTCTTGTTGTCAGTGTTTTCTTTGACGTGTTCGATCTGACCGCAACTGGCATTACGCCAACTGTTCGTGGGGGGTGAATCTCAGGGTGACCCGACTCACCTGTTCTTGTTTCCTGACTGCAGCGTTGGCCCGGTTCTGAAATTATGATGGGACGATGATCAAATTATGATGATGCCTTTCTGAAATTATGATGGGACGATGATGATGAAATTATGATGCCTTTTCCGAAATTATGATGGGACGATGATGATGCCATTTTTGAAATTAGAATGGGACGCAAGCGCGACCGGTTTCTCCATGATTTTATTAACAGTTGAATTAATTTTGCTTGCATATGTGAGATGAGGCCCCTGTTTACTGAAGTTATTAAATTACCTAGCTTAACCTAATCTTAACGTAGTTGCCATGTCCTCTCGGGTCATTGTCCGGACGTTGGGACCCTCGGGCAAGGATGGGGTCGGCCCCAGCACTAAGGACCTGGCACAAGCGCTCCGCTCAGGGCAGTTCAGCGTGGCGTGGTCCGGTGGCGGCGTCAATGGTCGCCTCCCTCCCCCTCCGTACGATTTCCTGCGGAGGGGAAGTAAAGTCGGGTGTCCCATGTTAGTAGATTTACTTTCATGTAAAACATTCTAAAGCCTAAATGACGTAACTTCTGAGCTAAATTGCAATCTCCTCTTTCTCGCCCAAGAAACACACCCTTTCTCCGCTAGCTGGTGAAAGGAGTGTAGCAAAATTTGCGTGGTCAGACGCAAGAGCGAGGCTGACGGCCCTAGCCTCGCCACGTAAAATGAGGCATCAATTCATTTCATCCCGAAGGGCGGGCGGAGCAGCGGGCGACGGTCACCCACCCCAGCGTCCCCGGCGGCGGCGTCGGTGGCGTGGCCCGAACCCGTCCGGCCCACCACACAATAGGGCCCAGCACTTTCCGAAAAATGCCCCTTTCCTGTCTCTCAACTTTCGCGGGTTCCCAGCGTTCTTTATTAAAAAAAATAAAATATTCGTCGAACTCTGGAGCGTGCGCCGTCCCATTACAATATGACATTTTTTTTACATAAATTTGTACGTATTCATTTTACTTTCTATATCTTCTATATTGCTCGGTTTATCCATATACAAATGTGTTCGTTCATATTCAATATTAAACAGCCGCTGATAAGAGGAAGAAGTTCCGAAAGCCTGTTTTCTGTTTATTAAAATTCATATTGGAATAAACTACTTTGTGGTTAATACCACTGCTATTCTGAATTTTTGGCAGAAAGATAAAGAGCATAACATGGCCAATTTTCCACCCTTTAAGTTTCAATCGTTTGAAAATACACATTTAGCGTTATCTGTCGCAGGTATGGAAGCTGTACGATAATGATCCACTAAAAGAGGTATACCAGCAAGAGTTTCTTCCACGCCTGCGCGTCTTCTCTGCTCAAGCGCACGTGAACGACCTGATGGAGCTCATGAGACAAGAACTGGACACAGTGTTTGGAGCTCCGCTGCCGCGATGGGAGTCCCTCCTCCCCTGCTACGTCGCTACCGTCAAGAACTGGGCTCTGGTCGACACGCGGGGCGCCCCGCTCACAGAGCGCTCCGGGGAAGTGGAGTCGCTCGTGGCGGAGGAGCTGGCCAAGCAGGGGCGGGCGGCGGCGGGCGCTGGGGCGCTGCGCTTCCAAGCGGAGCACTGCGTCACCCTCAGAAGAGCGCTGGGGGGCGGCCAGGGGGCGGTGGCCGTGAGGGTGCGCGGCGTACCAGCGGGCCACCGCGCGGCCAAGGTCGTCCAGGTGCTGGACGAGGCGTTCGCCGGCCGCTGGGCCTACGTGGGCGACCGCCAGTTGCGGGAGCTGCCGCGCGCCGCGCTGGAGGCCGCTACCGGCCACGTGAAGCTCCTGCTGCTGGACGCGGAGGAGGAGGTGGCGGCTGCGCTCGCCCTGGTAGCAGCCGTCGGCTGCAGCGTCAAGGTGGTCGCCGTCTCCTCTGGGGACGGCGCGGGCCCTTTGAGGGGCGGTGTGACTATGGATGAGGAGGACTGGAGGATGGACCACCTGACGCTGGCGGCTCAAGAGGCTCTCATGGACCGCAAACTCCAGTTTCAGGTCAGTTCTTGATGTACAAGGCGCATTCAGGAAGTAAGTTTCTTGACGTTGTCAACAGAATTTCATGGAAAGAAAACAATTGGACATGGAGAACTTTTATTGTCCCAAATAGAGCACATATCGCACTATTTTTTTATATAATTTTCACCGAAATCGAGACAAGGGTCTCAATGTTCATAATTCTGTGTCATAGAACGTTTTTTTTGAGGTAGGTAGCTGTGTTAGACTGGCTCCTGCAACTTTACATCACTGTGAGGCGCCTAATGCTGACCACTCAGACATTTCTTGAGGAGCAAGAAAATACTGAAATTGCTGTGGGTGACATCCGGATAGGTGGTTTCTCAAACTCCTCGCAGCGAGACTGCAGCAGAAAATGTGTAGTAAACAGCGCCGCGTGAGGCCCACCACTGTGGTGCACAAAGACTGTACTGAGCTTCCCGAGTTACTTTATTTTCAACAAATACGGAGAAACAACCGGCCTATCGGCTCCCCTTCTCGTGATGGGTGGGTAGAGGAGAATCACCTGTTATCGGACGTCAAGGAGTAGCGGGAACCAAGACGCAGCTCATCCCGGATAAGAATTAACATATTGGTAGAAGCATTTGTGCGTTAGAGACGAGGAAAGACAAGGAAGGTGACGAAAAGTCTACTGCAGTCCGTGGCCCGTTTGTTAGGATACTTTTCCGGCATTCGCCTGGAATTATGCGAGGGGAAAACTCCAACTCAACTGCTATGGTAGTTAGTTCCGTGCATGCTATATCTCGGAAGGTTGACGTGTTCCTTCTTTTCTGAAACAGGTGATCCTAAGCAACCTAAGGCTGTCAATAGTTCCTATTCGAACATTACTTATACTCGTGTCTTAATATTTCCATTCGCGTCAGCTGGTACGGTCTTTAGTTCCGTGAATGGTATATATATATATATATATATATATATATATATATATATATCGGGAGGAGTTCATGATCCTTCCCTGCTCAAACGAGATCGTGTGCCGACGTTCACGTTTACTTATGTGACGATTTATTTTCATTCAGAAATATCCCATCACCAAGCCACCGCCACGACAATCTACACACCTACACAATATGTAGAACGATAGAAATTTTAACGTATGTGTATGTGTAAAATGCAGCGATGGGAACTATTATATTGAAGGATCAGTCAGGTGCCATCTGTCCATTGCCCCGGGAAGTACCTTATGGGTCGTGTGTGTCTGTGCAGGGTCGTCCGGTGCCCTTGCGTGCCCTGGAGCCCTCGTGGCGCTCCGTGCGAGGGGACAAGGACGGCGCCTTGGGATATGAAATGAGTAGTATGAGAGAAACGATATCTAGCACTGGGAAATGCCCTATAGAGCGAGTGTCTGTGCAGGGTCGTCCGGTGCCCTTGCGTGACCTGGAGCCCTCGTGGCGCTCCGTGCGAGGGGACGTGGACGGCGCCCTGCTGAGCGCCCTGGTGCGCGGGGGGGCGGCGATGGGCGCGGCGCTGCCCGCCCCGGGAGACGCCCACCTCGACCTCCCCCGCACCCTAGAGCACCCCGCCACCCTCGACCCGGCCGTTCTGGAGGGGCTGGACCCGCGGAGCGACCATCTCGTCCTCAGCGGATTTCCAGCGCCTTTTCTTGAGAAGCTGTACAAAAAGCTCACGTCTAAAGATGCCAAACGCGGAGAACCCGATTCGCACAGAATACAAGGAATGAAAGCAGGACATACAGACAAAGAACCGAGAGAGAACCATGAAAAAATTGAACAAAATAAATGGTGAGTTTAGATAAGATTCGTGCGTACCAAAAACATTCTGATGTTATATTTATCTATTTCATAAACTAATTAATAATGGATATTGCAGAGTTACATTTGGTAGATAATAAGATAGTCCGATTTTCCTAAATAACA